TTGTGTAAAATTTTAATTGAAATTGAGAGGGGAGCAAAACAGAATGAAATCCTAAACTCTAAGAGAAAGTGCAGTAGAAAAGATGACTAGGTTGAATCAGCATTAAAACTGTGGTTTACTGATGTTTGTGGCATACAGCACAGATCAGGAAAGTTTCATAAACAGAATGAATATGGAAGTTTTATTAATGAATTTTTTAAATTCTCGTTTTAATTGTTTTTAAATGTGTCAATAAACATTACTGTAATTGCTGAATTTTTATTTCATTGGTTAACGTTATCATTTGGTTATTGTTATCAATGCAACTGGGTCCAGAAGTGATCACAATAAGCGGCATCCAGTGTATTAACCTTTCCCAGTATCTGTTAGCTTTGTACCATATGTTTTTTTCAACAAGGCTTTGAAATTATCCAATAGTAAATATAAAGCAAGGGGTTTGACCATGGAGTGGGTATTTTGTCCAAATGTTAAAGAAAATATCTCACTGGAGTTTGATTGTTTAGACAATGTTCTGTATGCATTTAGATAACAATATGTTACAAATATACTGATGAAACTTGCAGTATGAAATATACAAGGTATCACAAGTCTCAACATTCACAAATATGTGTATGTGTGTAGAATTGGTTGTATGTTTGCAATTTTTATAAGACTGTCTGTGTTTGAAGTCAGTCCATCAAGTTTTTTTGAATAGGGCAAATGAAAGTTAAGTGAAAGCTTGCATTGACCTCTAAGTTTATTTTGTACTCAATACTGCAGTGGTCTCATGTTCAAACAGAAATATTGAGGAAACTACAAGATTTTCATGCCACAAACCTTTGTCTGGAAGCAGTACCTTTGCCATGAACCTACATTAAATTAAAAACATTTCAATAAATTGGAATAATAATGCTTTATTAAACTTTTTGTTTGTAAGGTGGATGGGAATATAACAATACATTGAATTACTAAATAATAAAATACCTGATGTATTGGCTAGAAGATATTTAAGGATAACTGTGAATTAATGCTACTAATACAAGCTATGGACCAACTTTCTTGTGGATCTATGACTTATTAACACAAGCTGCACAGAAATACCATTGATATTGCATTTAATTACATTCATCGTTGTGTTTTACATAGAAAATGAGGGATTTCACCCAATATTTATGGTTGGTTCTTGACACTGAATGTTGTAACAGGTGAAAATATGTTACTTAATGTAGTGTAGTATGTGGACCCTGCTTGTAGTGAACTGTATACAAACAAGTCAGTAATTTGAGGGTTAAAATAAAACTTAAGAACATGGTGATGGCAGGTGACTTTTTAACCTCACTACATTATATAATCGTAACCTGTAAAAATGTAATTATTCACTTTCATACAGGTATTTAATAAAAAGTTGAGTAAATTCAAATCAAGCATACATTTCATCATTGGATAATATGTTTATTCTAAATATTTTTACAGAAATATTACCTTTGATTTTACTGGCAAGCATAGATTGGTTCATTTACTTACTTTATTGATAATGGCCAAGTAATTTCATATATTTTAGCAATAATAGTGAAGAGTACTTACTCTTAGAGAACATTAGATACAACAGTGAAACATTGTCACTTTTATGAAATTAAACTGAAGTCTTAATGGTAATCGAGATTGATGTCTTGTGATATACAAATGCCACATATCTTACTCTTTTACAGTGTATATTTCATAGTTATGAGAAATTAATGTCATGTTATAATTTAGTCTTAGGCATTACTTTATGTAGTAGGGCTCTGTCAAGGAAGCTATCTTCTGTTTCATAGAATAGTTTCATTTGCCCTACTTTACCTTATGTAGATGGAACTGTTCCATGATTGTCAAGTGGAGCAGATATCTCTGGATTCATGTTATCCAATTTTGAGATTAGTCAGCTATAAAGAGAATGTGGAATGTGAGAGCAGTTTTTTTCTTCTTGGAAGTCGGAATTTGCTGTGAAGTCTCATGGCTACTCATTCTTAGATGTTTGACTAGTGGATAATGTTGAGCAATTATCTCTCTAAATTTGGGTTATTTGTTAATAACCCTGATTATAATTATCGGTTATTTTACTTAAATAATTTTTAGAAGTAAACCTGTGGGGGAAAAATAATACAAGTTTCTGATTAAACAATTAATGGTAGAATATAACTAAACCAGGTCAATATAAAAAAAAAAATAGTTATGGTCTGGTGAGGTGCATAAACACTGAACTAAACTAAAGGCCACAACAAACAATGGGGCCCTCTAATCCATTGAGTTATGTGGAAGATATGTTCCAACAATGAACATATTTCTGTAATAAACTAATTGACATAATTATAAGTAGATTTGATTAATAAAAATTCAGGGTTTTAATCTATCAAATGATATGTTATATTATGTTGTTCTCTCTACAGATAATTGTCAATTTCACTTTCAGTTCTAGGTGGTTTTTCAAGGGAAATTGATGAGGTCAGTCAAAGTGACCAACCTTGTATAGACTATGATAGAGAAAATAACAGATAAAATATAAACTTTTAATGAAAATACACATTTTAAATTTATTTAGAAGAGATGAATAAAAGTATTTGTAATATTAATATGAATATCACTTTGCACTCAGACTAGTAAAAAAAAATACTCCTTATATTCACAAACAAATCTTTAGTAAAGGTACTTCATTAAAAAATCTGACTTTTTGTGCACAAAAGACTTAATGTTTACTAAAAGTCTGCCAAATTTTGTGAAGATACATGTACTGTATCAAAAGTTATAATATGGAAACTAGTGAATGCAAAGTGGTTACAAGATTGGTTGGATAGACCAAACACATGGTGATCGAGTTAATTTATTTTCAAATGACAAACAATGAGGACTGGCTCTGATTAAGTTCTTATGTAGGAATAGTAACTGGTGCCAGACTCTTCTCCCTGTTATCACTTATACTTACTTCTGGGGATCATACTTTTGCTGGAATGCACAGCATGGCCTATACTACTTTAGCCAGTTTAGGAAATTTGGTTCATACTTGAATGCTTTCATCTGAATCATTGCTTTTCTTTATTCTTATTGCCTCTTTAATGCCTGCCCAAAAATCAACATCACTGTCCTTGTACTTGGCTTGTTGAGTTCCACTGGATGCTCCTTTATTCACGAGAGAGTTGGCACCTTTTAAACTTTTTATAAATGACAGCTATGTTTTTTGTTTGTTTCTTTTTGCATCAGGAGACAAGAGAATGTCCTTAATTCTTGGGTCCACAAACATAGACAGTCAATGGTCAGAGGTTGAATTTAAACAGAATTCTGAGTTATGTATTCAGGAAATTTTTATACAAAGCAAAAATGTAAACACTGCATTTTTAAAATGCAAATGTAACAAGACCTACAGGTTCAAAAATTACCAAGTTCTTTCTAGGTAATGCAACGTGAAAAGCATTCTACTACTCCAAGCAACCTTTAATAAGAACAAAAAAACTGCAGATGTGTATATCCAAAAGCCATAAAAGTTTGGTAACAATGAACAAATTAACCAATAGAGATTACTTGCACCTTTTGTTAGGATGCACTATTTGTACTGAAAAGTTTCATCATTAGTCGATCAATTTCAAAGAAAGCTAGTACCTAATCCCACTTATTCAAGATGTTCTCACCTGTATGAGCTTCCAGAAAATAAAGTGAGTCCAGAAGATGTTTCATGTTGAAATCTTCAGTGAGGTAATGCACAGTAAGAGAATTAAATGAATCATGAGCTCTTGATGCTGAGATGTCAAATGTAATAAACTATTGTACACGAGTTAAATGATCTACAACTGTTACACACCTAATGTAATAAACTATTGTACACGAGTTAAATGATCTCCAACTGTTACACACCTAATGTAATCAACTATTGTACATGAGTTAAATGATCTACAATTCTTACACACCTAGTGTAATAAATTATTGTGCATGAGTTAAATGATCTACAACTGTTACACACTTAGTGTACATTCTCCAAATAATTATTGTACACTCTTCCTATCATTAACTGCAGGCATGTATTCAACAAACAATAACAGTCCTCCTGCCATGGGAATGATAACAGGTGTGTAACAGTTGTAGATCATTTTACTCAGGTACAATAGCTTATTGTTTCATGAAAGCAAACCCAAAATCAGCCATACATGTGATGTGCAAATTTAAATAAATTAGTGCATACAATTACTTTATCAATGTTTTGTCTTGTCTCACTGGACAGTGATGTTTGTGTGTCACGGTTACGTAGAACATATCTATGAGAATATTGACAGAGTGAAATTCAGAAGTATTTCTGTTGAAGAAATAACTAGACAGATATTTATTAACCAATAAATATTCTAATTTTAATTTTCTTAAATTTGTCAGTTGTTATGAGTGACAAAAACTGGATATGGCCCTACTCTGAAAATTGTATTTATGTGTATCATGTGTTTTAAATATTATTTTTTCAGTGATTATTATTTTTGTTAACAACAAATGATTAAAAGAAAATGGTATCAAGTAAAAATTACATTGATGTGACCAGGATTACCAATTCATTTGCCCTTTTAATGACAGTATATTTTTATTTTTTGTCTATATTTTTTAGACAAGATCTATATGAAAGATCAAGTAGAACAGTTTATTACACTCTAGATGTGTAACAGTTGTAGATCATTTTACTCAGGTACAATAGTTTATTACATTAGGTGTGTAACAGTTGTAGATCATTTTACTCAGGTACAATAGTTTATTAATGTTTCACACAGTTTTACTACATCTTATAAACAGGATAAGTTAATTTTGAAATAGTGGTAGGAGTGTTAAGAAAACCATTAAATGTGCATATGAAAATGTCAAGCCAAAGAAAGCTTCTTGCACATTTCTGAAAGAGGCATACAATGGGTTGAAGTAAAGTAATTAAAAATTGAAGTTTTTTTCCCCTAAGTTTCAGAATGGACATGATGAAATGTGTAAGTTTTAAAGTAAAATTTTATACTTTTTATATTTTCAAGGTATAGTTGTCCTGTGTGCCTCTCACCCCGTCTGAAGATGGTAACAGGAATGTGTCAACACAGAATGTGTACAGGGTGCTTGTATAATAGGGAGGATGGTACTTTGAAAACGAGCATGTCCAAATGTCCAACATGCCAAAAACCTGCTGTTTTTCCACTTAAAAGGTTTGTACTTAATGAGTAAATTCCAAATTAAATTGTGTGTCTGTGTATATAACCAATGGTTTTGTTTCTTTTAACTGAGAAAAAAGTTAACTTTACTTTCTCTCTCTTTTTAAAAAACGGATTCTTCAAACGTTTTACATTATGAAAATGTTCCATTATGTTGAACCTCAAGGTGTAACAAAATATAAAAAGCAAGATGAAATTGCTCTCTTTAAAATTTAGACAAAGTTGCAATCTGTCTAAGTGTATTCTTTTATATTTATGTTGTACTTACTATCATAAATCGTTTCTAAAAATTGGAATATGAAGTACCCAAACATCTATTGATTTTTGAAGAATAAGTAAATTATGTCACTGTAATTAATTTTTTACCAGCTTTGACTATATTTGTTAGTGGCTTTGCTATGTGTTACTGATTTATCAGTTATTGGAATTTATTGCTTCTTAGCCTATAGAATTCTTAATTTAGAGTTTTCATGATTTTATGATAATTAAAACTAATCTTTTTCATATTCATAAAAAGGCCTGACATCCCAGAAGACAACATTTTGATTCAGAAGATGTTAGGAGTGACACAGTGTCCCAATACTAATTGCTTTACAGAACTTTGGGAGTGGGAATTAAGTGACCATTTGAAGTAAGTTAATTTAAGTATATAGTTTAAACTTTAATGTGTAAATTTATTAGAATGTCTGCTAGAATTTTTTTAATATCTTATTTAAACATTTATTTTTTATAACTTGCTACTCATATTGAGGAATTATCAAACCCTCATCTTGAAATGTATACTGAAACATTATAGAAATAAAGTTCTTTATATTGATAGGATAGCATAACATAAGGGCTACAGAATTCTCTTGTTTAAGTTGACATTTAATCTGAATCAGGGGTTATGAAGAAGGCTACTTTCAGTAATAATATCTAGTACTTGTATGATGAAACTAAGCTGTTATCTTCCTGTAACACAAAATCCCACACTAACTAATAAAATGTACCCCAGTGGCACAACAGTAAGGTCTGCAGAATTAAAATGCTAGAAACGGGTTTCGATACATGTAGTAAGCACAGCATAGATAGCCCATTTTGTAGCTTTGTGCTTAACTAAAAACAGTATAAATAAAACCTACACATAATGCTAACTTTTGTGTCATTTTCTCTGCTAAGAAGTGAATAAAACTCAGGTTCTAAATATAACTGTAAAACTAAAGATCCTCAAACTCCTTGTAATGGAATGGTATTTAGAACTAAGATATTAGTATATCTAAAAACTATATCAAATAATGATTTATTCTTCAGGAAATGTTCTCATGCTCCAGTAAAAATTGCAACCTTGAGAAGAAAAAGTCCAAGAAGTTCTAGGAGCATGTCAGTGTTGTCTCCTACAAACAATGAAACAAAGATTTTTCAGCACAGAACACGAAGTCAAAGATTGGCCAAACAGTGGGAAACTGTTTCAAACACTCACTTGAGAAAATAAAATGACATGTTTTTGTACATCTCGGTGAAATATTCTCCAGGAACTTATAAGTCGTTATAATGTAAAATGGAAAGTCTGTAAAAAGATATCTAATTTTCACAGATGTTCCATTTTGGTGTGTGTGTAAAAAATGTGAATTTCATTACTTAATATTGTACATAATGTAAATGTTATCCACTGTAACCTTCAGTTGTAATTGGACTTTTAATTTTTTCTTCATTAAACATGAATAAATAATTTTCAATAAATAGTATGATGAGAATTAATGTTTTCTAAGCCTAATGTCTTTTTTTTTTTAAGTTTCTGAAGGATGTATTATCTTGAAGTTATAGTTTTCTAATAATAGGACAGTTTGTTTACTCAGTGTAGTTCAGAATTAATAAATTTATATAGAATAAACATTAAAAATCATTAATTTTTTTATTAAGGTTAATATATTTAAACAATAATACTGTCATAAGATTGTACTCCGATATAGACATTTTGGAATTTTAAAATGTGTATTTTACTATAGTTGAAATGAATATTTTATTTATGTTATACTGTATTAAGAAAAAATATGTGGATAAGTTACATTTACATATAATCTCAGATTTTACTAAATGTCTAAGTTGGAGAAAATGTTTGGAATTTCTTGTTAATTCTGAGAGTGGGTAATTATTAATGTATAAGTTTGAAATAGTACAAAAAAAATTTAAATTTAAAGCAATGACTGTGTTACATGCTTAATCCAGGGCCAGATTAAGAGTATTATGAGCCATAGGTGACCAGTGAAAGTTGGGCCCAAAGTTAAAAATTATAGATAATGATAGACACAGGTTAAAAATACCTAAATCTTTTTCACCCACTAATGTGTAATTTTACATTGAATCTCATCCATTACTTCAAATGTCCTACGTAATCATGAAGTTTTAGCAAAATTACTAAAAAGGATTAAAAATATATATTATAAAATAGATTTATAATGTAGGTCAAAAGAAAACATACAAAAAAAATTGTAGTTCAAAGCAAATCATATCTGTTTATCAAAAATAAAATTTTATTTCATAAATTGCAAGATATGTCACACAATTTGATGTGAAAAAAATACAATACATAGAAAAAATATAGACATTGGATGTATTTTCTTCTTGATTTTTGATAAACAAATTTTATGATAAGTTCTTCATAATTTAGCTCTTTCATTTCTTTGCTCTCAATATAAAGTAATGACAAAGCTGATATCCTCTTCTTCAAATGTGTCCAACATTTCCCTCACATGCTCATTAAATGTTCCAAGCTACTATAAAGATCTATGGCAGTTTTTAGGTTAGTGGATTTATTTTGAAAGGCTTTCAGTGTCATGTTGAAATGGTTTAGAATATAATCCCAAATGACTGTTTGTAGCACAAATTCTAATAAGTTCATTTTGTTTGATATTTCTGCAGCTTCTACTTGAACAATCTTTCTTCTTTTTAAAGGTTCATCATAGCTCGCCTTATCACTTTGAATCCGGTTTTGAGAGCTCTATTAGTATCGTTGCGAGCTGACCACCTTGTTATTGGTAAACATTTAACAGTTAAATGTTGTGAGTTTTGATAGCATCTATATAATACAGCCGTCGGTGAGTTGATGCTGATAAAAATAAAAAAAAAAAAATAATTTTGCACTAAGTTAAAATACATAATTGTGCCCAAACAATATTCGGCTGCACTGTTTCCATTCAAATTTAAGGAGTGACATGAAGAAGGTATATAGACCACTGTTAGACTACGAGTTTTAATTCTTACCTAAAGTCCTTGTTACCAACTGGACATATTTGATGCATTGTTATAACTTTGGTCTCTGCAGTTATTTATGTCAATACCTAGTGACTTTTAACTTTTCCACTACTGTTGTTTCCCAGCAAGGGAAAAAATTGAAATAAACTCCAACTTTCTACTGTATCTCCACTAGATAGTACACGTCTGAGAATAAGTGTTAACCGGTCTATATGTGCAATGTTTGGTGTCGTCTACAATGATCATAAGTATTTTTCTGTTTTCATTTTATTAAAAAATTAAGATTTCTGTGTGTAACTCAGGAGTTTGATTAATGTATCGCATACCGAAGAAAAGTAACTGATATGGCCTTTCCCAGGATTCGCTTGTTTTGCGAGATGCTCTGTTAAAAAAAAAAGGGTCTAACTCACTAAGGTATTCAAAATATGCTAAATAATTTCTATTACTCTGGAAAAAAAATTGTCTCCCCTAAATGGTAAGCCATGTTTAACTAAGTGTTTTACTGTAGCAAATACTTATTTTAAAATTTCTCTCCAATAATTTTTAGTTTTCTTGCATTCTAATTCAAAATTTGTATCTATTCTACCATCTTTACAAGTGCTTGATGTAAAAACATTGCATTGACAATTGCAGTATCCTCCTGTCAGTAGGTTTTGTTTCTTTGATAATAATTTAAACATAGAGCAACATGATTTATTTTTAATAGATGAATAAACCAACCAATTCCTGTCGATTTTTTCTTCCAAAAATAGTGTCATGAATTTGTCTGAGATACGACTGATCGCCCTCAGTGACTGTTTTTGCACTTTCAAGGTTTACAAAATACAGCAAGGACTATCTTTTTTTTACATAATATTCGTGGTTATAACAGAGGGCCATAATGCGATATGAGTAGTATGTTTACTAGGTAATCATTCTGTATGATGGAGTCATCTACATCTGTAAATTTATTTGGTGTTTCTTCATTATCTCTCCTTTTTTCAACATGGTCAGTGATCTAGCTTGTGCTTTACTGCTAATGTTAGACACCTCTACTTCATTAACATTTATTTCTTTTTCTAAAATGTTTCATTCAAAAGATTTTGGTATTTTTTTCTATAAAATTTAACAGAGAAAGAAGCTTGATCTGATTTCTTTTATGGTAACCAGAAGCATGCTTGTATGTTCTCATTTTTTAAGAACTTGCAAGGGCCAAGTAATAATTATTGAAATATAAAAGACTTGTGACAAGAAAAACTGATTTGTAATAAAATTACAAATATGTTTCCTTGGATGCTTCTAATATATATATATATATAATGTCAAACTGTAATGGTAAAAAATAATATTCTGCCAAATAAAAAAAATACTAATGCATAATTTGCAGATTTTAACAGACCAGTAAATGTATAATGAAAAAAGAAAGATATATGCATCGAATAATTCTGCTGCCACTTTTCTTGCAAAAAATCTTGAATTGTATCAGTTTTAAAAAATGAAAAACATATAGTCCTAAAACACTTTTCTTTACTTTTTCTTATAAAAGATATACGCACAAACTAAATGAGTAAGAAACGAATGATAAAGAAAATATACGTACACATTAGATAGACTGATAGCTTCTGGAAAATTTCCTGAGCTGACCTAGAACTAGTGCTAAGAAAATAGGCCTAAGCTTACATTACGACATGATCCCCAATGGTCCAATGTAACATTTTACTAACCACCAGTAACTATGTAATATGATATTACTCAATTATTTCTTTATATCTTGAAAAATACTATTCTATAACCATATATTTAAAAAGCATCTAAAGATAATTAGCAAGTAATTAAATAATGTAAGCTTTATGAATACAGAAAGCTTACTGCTTTGTATAGTATCACCCCACATTAGATAGAAATGTAAATAAATTGAAGATCTGTTCAAGGGCTTAGCAGCAGGGCCAAATGTGTCATTAAAACTGACTCACACTGGACCTATTGTTGGTTTTAGTAAGTGGTCTGAATAATGTCCATCAACCATTAAAGGGTTAATCCTTTCTTTATTATCAGGCCAAGTAAACAAAAAAATACATGTTTAGCATCCCCACCTGCTTCCTCTTTTGCAGTCGCCTCCCTACCTCCCCCTTTTTTTGGCGATTTTTTTTCCTTTTTTTGAATTATAGCTTTTCGATCATACAAACAAATGAAGACTTCTGAATAAAAAATTAGATGAACACAGTTGATTCATTTTGCCCTTTTTCTTTATTTGTCATACATTCTATATCATTTTGACATGAACACTTTAAAAACAAGCAACAGTTATAAAAAAAAAAATGGTGTAAAATTTCTTTTGAAAAGTCTGGATGCTAAATTTTATTTTTCAGACGTATGGGGAGCTAGGTGATTGCCTGTGCCATAATCCAGCCATGGCTTAATCACGAAAGCTGTGCATAAGACTAGCGTGAATTAAAAATTGAACCTTTGTATTTTAAGTTTAAAAAATTGAGAAAATAATGAATGAAAGGAAAAACGACTTGTTTAAACATAAAAATTATTCTTGCAAGTTTTTGGTTTTTAGTGTTAAGGTTCAGTAACTAGAAGCTTAACAATTGAAAGGATTTTATTATATATATATTTTTTTATGATAACAGTTATTTGCTGAATGCAATGTGTAAATAAGAGGTGTTTAACAAATGGTCTGTGATATCTTTTCCAAGGTAATTTGTTGAATTTGGCACCAACTTGTATATGGGAGGTATTTTCTCTAAAATTCCAATGTAGAATGTAAATAAACGTGTTTAACCTGACCATGTTTTTTCTGTGTACCTGGTTTAGCTTTGTGGAATTCACACATGTCTACATGTTGTGGACATTTGAGTGGTATTTAAGTTGGTTTTTTTGGAAGGCTCTTTTTTTCAATTAGATTCAAAAACAAAGTTGATAAAGATTTTAGAGTGTAGATTGCTGTTTGTTTTAAAAATGCATTAAAGAACTAGAATTACTTGTGTGCTGACTGAGCTAATGTGTCACAAAATATATTGAGAAGTGGGGCAGCCTTGCGATTAGTTCAGTTTTTGTGATTGTTGAGTTCACAAAATGATATTGAATATAAATTTTATATTCAAGACAAGAACATTACAAGTAAAGATCTGGGTTGAACATTGTCTGAAACATTTAACATCCAATTATAGTGCCTACATTTTAAGTTTCAGTGGAAAACTATTACTGGAATTAGGTAAATATTTTCTATCAGTATACTTGTATTAAAAAAATAATTTATCAAAAACTCATTTTGATAACAGTTTCAAGGATATACTTTTCTAGTGGAAGTTCACTTAACTCAAGCTTGGTCTTGATTACTTTGGAAGGGTTAGTGTGAACATTTGTTAGAGATTAGTGTGTTTTTAAAAGCATAATGGAAAGAAATAGCAACTTAATGGATTTTATGGCATGTGCAATAGTGTACTTAGCTGGCTTACTGCCAGATAAACTTGA